CTTAAGCAACACTTGTAGTACGTATTGTATGCATTAGTTATACTTGTATGCTATAGAGTATTATTTTTGTAGTTTAGGGTTTTTTAAATATTTTATTATTTCACAGGACCGAAAACTTTTGGAGTGAGCCAAAATGTTATTTAAGAACGAATTAGAGATCTGAAATCATTTGTATAGGTGCTGCTAATTTTGAATTCGAGGAAGTTCTAGGGTAAGTCCGTCTATAATACTATATAGGTACTACAACTCGCCCTTCTGTACATAGGTGCGCACCTACGATAGCGGTGGCCGTTTCATGGGAAAAACTCCAAATAATTCACCCTGCGTATGCTGTATGTGTGTGTTTGTATTGTAACTTTTAGCATCAAGTGGCCCGGTCCACGCACCGGGGTAAGTATATGTACTTGTAAGTCGTCTATACGAAATAACCATATAGGCCGGCGATGACAACCTGGCTGGATACACTCGAGTACCGTTGTGTGTTGTGTATATGCGTTTGACAGGCACCCCGTTGCAGTTCGCGAACACTTTAACGGCTAAAAAACGGCTCTTCAGACAACCCCTATACGTCACACACACACACACACATAAGCGTGCAGTGTACGTTCAACAGTGGGCATATATTTGAATAAATAATAATAATTATTAAACATATTGACAGCGCTAGACCATTGCATATACAGTAGTCGGACGGTGTAGAAAATAATACAATATAATATATTAGTTTGACGCAAAACAACTGACGGGGATGAGACGGAAAGTACAAATTATAGACCGTTTGATTGGGCTTTTGCGTTTTTTGCAGTACTGAAATTCTATAAAACGGTCCAACGTATCTACCCGAGTTTCAGGAAGGTCTGTATTATATATTTTCGGTAAACCGGAGATCCGTACAAACAGATAGCGGCTCGGTCGAACGTTGGATTAAAACGGTTTAAGCGTAAAGTGAAAAAAGACAAAAACCGTTCGCGTTCAAAGGCCAAAGGTCCTTTAAAATTAAGTAACTAAACAAAGGGGTCTACCCATAGAATTGGCTCTAGACACGCCACTGTGCTTACAATTATTAAATTAAACACATTTCAGTCAAGCCAAGGTAAAACGCAACTTCTACAATATCTGAAACGAATTAACGAAATGTTGATTTATCATATTATAATAACTTCATTATGTATTCTTTTTTATATTTACAGACAAGTATGTGTTTATGTAAATTCACATTAAGACTAGACAACATGGCATAGTTTATATGCATGTTTATACATTTGAAAATAAAATAACTAAAATATACTAAATATGTTCGGGACCATTAATTCACAAACTGAAGTGTAAGGGAAATTACGGGGTTTTCCTTTGTTTCAAATAAAAGAAAAATTAGAGAATTAGAAAAAAAAATAATTTCTGAAAGCGTCCGATTTTTCAAAAAAATAAAATACATTTCTATGTAGGTATGTAAAAACTAAAAGCCATCCCATAATTGTAATTCGATTAGAAACTCATACAAATTTTTTTCAGGTTGTTTAAGAAGTCGAATAAAACGTGCATTTACACTCAAAACATCATTTTTTTTTCTTAATTTCGTACATTTTTACTATACCGTTTTTTTCAAAAATTTCTTATAACAAATACTTTTTTAATTTTTCAGAAAATGACCGATTTTCTAATGTCCATCGCTTGCGACCTCTTTACACCCTGTTTGCGCAACCCATTAAACTGTCATGTCCGTTTTCGCACACTCGTTTTGTAATACCGAACAAATCCCACCGGGGCTTTCCCAATCGGACGCACCGTTTAGTCGATTATTGTGTTTTATAATAAGCGTTTTCTTCATAACGTGACGTCACACTCGAAGACAATATCGACTGTTTATTTTTATTTTGTTCCCATCGCACAAATATTATATCGCGTAATTTGCCCGCATATAACACACACACACACATAATATGCAAAACACAAAGGGATGTCCTCTCTGTGCTCTCCAACTCCCCGGGGGAGGGGGGAGGCAAGAGTCGAACGATTTAGCCCCACAAATATTATACCGTCGAGGTTTCGGTATACATTATTGTATTATATTCTGTTTTTGTTGTCCGCCAGCCAGCCAGTAGATAAAAATGGCGTTTCGACTCTATTATTGTTATGCCGTGTGTGCGCGCGATGCGAGAGGATAAAGTTACCCCTGATGGGCACACCGCACCACCGCCGTCACCGCATATATACATCATCACGGGTATCCATTGTAGACGGAGACAAACAGAGAGAGAGAGAGAGCCAAAGATATATATATATATATATATATATATATATATATATATAAGTATAAACCTCATACGTACATAGTCCTCCATCGAGTTTATTATGTACATACAATATTATATGTACTAAAAGACAGCAGCTGGGTGTGTGAATTCGATAATCTCCATACGCCAACGTCGGCAACGGCGGCGTGGGGACGAGCATATGTCACTAGCACGCCCTTTGCGGATTAGCTGATGCTGTGAGTCCATATATAATAATATAATATAAAATGCGATGGAGGGACACTATGGGGTTTGCCGGTGGGTAATGCGTGTACAAATTGACGGCAGATTGATTCCCGGAATCGGGTTTTGACGGGAATCCAAATCAACATTAAAAAAAAAAAATAGCCTACTGTCTTACCGGAATTCAGACCATAATATAGTTTTTTACTAAATGATCATACCGAGATTGGTTCTATATTTTTTAAGTTTTACTTTGTTATAACTTTGTACTATTATGGTCGAAAATCGCGAGAAAGGACTGCTTGGACCTATCAACTGTATTATTTACATTTCACTAATAAAGCCTTACTTGCGTAAGCTTGATTTGCAATAAGACACGAGAAAAACTGTCTATATTAATCCTAACCTATGTGACTAATATCAGTTTATTCAGTAATAAGAAAACGCAGATTAGATATTATAACGTCACAAATGTTTTTTCTTCTTAATATAAAAATGGTAACCAGTTTAGAAATTGTCACCAAATAAATTGATTAAGGCACGTTAATGTGTTATAACTTATAACTTATAATTCATTAAATTACATTAATTTTTCAATAGGTAATCCATTGTAATAATTACTTTTAGATTTATTGGTTTCAATGTATTTAATAAATGTAATAAAAATCAAACATGTGTTAATATAAACTGTATTTTTATTGACATTGTCATTTCTAAATTTCTTTTATCAAGTATAACTAATTTAAGATTAAATACACTTGATCGAGAAATCTGAAAATATAATAGTTATACAAGACTAGCCCAACCTTAGCGATAAAATATACTATAAGACTTATACCAATTATTGTGACACCATGTTTTCATTTTAATTATATTTTTAAAGTAAAAAAAAAAAGTTAAGTACTACTAATATGTTTTTATTTGTTTTTTCTAATTATGAACATACACTGTGCAGTTTCCAACCTTTTTGTTGTATTGTTGAATAAAAAAACGATAAGTTTTCCTCTTGTTTTAAAAAGTTAACAATCAAAATTTGTCAACGAGTACCGCTTATGATTTCTAATTACTATATATAGAGGTGCACATCATAAAGAAATCGACCAAGAGGATAAACATTAGGTAAACGATGGCTGCCCAGATAAATTCGTGAGAAAAAAACCTAATTTTAACAAAATTGTTGCAATGCCGACCGGCACTATGTAGTAGTGGTACTTCTAAACTTGTGGATTGAAGAGCCCAGCGGGTGTGTGTGTGTTTCTGTGTTATGTGAAACAGAATCAAAAAAATACTTGCAATTTAGTTTCAACGTCATCTGGCCACGGCCCGTACACCGCACCACTCCAGTTGTGTACAATTACACGGATGGGTTACCAGCAAAGTGGATACTGGATACAAATATGTTATAGCTATTAAATAGGTATGTAACTGTATATATAAAGTGTCAGTATAGTATATTTTCTAGTTTTTGTATTTTATACTGCAAAAGGAAATAGATAATATTCTAATTTTTTTATATTACTTATGATAACTTAAAAAATATATATATTTTTTTAAATAAATATGACAGACACAAAGTTGAGAAGGTTGTATACCGATAGAAATTTGGAGGATTTAATAGAGTGCTTTGCAGATCACGCTAACAGTGGTTTCACCGGTCATCTAATCTTTACTTGTTACTTGAAAATTCTTGTTAAGTTTATTGTCTTCCGAAAAAAATATTATAAAAAATCCGTTGTTTCTTTGTCGGATTATTGTATAATTGGACGTTTTTTGTTTTCATCAGGACTTATATGGACTATATGGAAGCGTTCATATATTATTTTATATTCATGTCTGTCTTTGTAAATGCACGGTGACCTCGGGGTGTTCTCAATTTAAACGCACTACACTTAACGTCCCGCGGTGCCATCGCAATTGTTGTAGTCACCCGCATTACAGTTTTCGAGTGCTCGCATGTAGGTACTCTCCGACATAAGGAAAATAAAAAAACAAGCTCCGTCAAAACTCAAAACCAATATAGCCGTTCTCACAGCATACCCGGAGGTAATTTTTTTTTAAACTAAAACAACAACACCTATAGGCCCTCTTCTTTGGAATGTACACAGGATTGGACATAAGTTAGGTACACAAATAAAGTTATGAAACTTGAAAAAATGTTGTCGAAGTCACAATAAATGACATTTTGTGTTGACATGCAATTTATATGACTGAGGTAAGCAATATTTCAATTATTGGACAGTTCGTGGGCGCCACCAAGACTTACTAACGTTTGTTTGCAATTTGGAAAATCATGTGTCAAATCAATTTTTATGGGTTTTAATGAAAATTCTTGTACATTATTATCGTATAAAATATATTCAATGAAAAAAAAATAATTAAAATAAAAGTAATTCAATCACAGTATTTGAATTATTGACGTCCGTATAAATCGTGTGTAAAACGTGCTTATTTGTAAGTATAATTAAAAGTAAATTTGTCATTATATAAAACAAACATTAATATATATTCCAAACCCTGCGCGTTGTGGTGAAACAAACAAACAATACTATTTTTTGTACAATAATTTTTTTTATAAATATATATAATATGTACAATAACTTTCAAACAATTTGTTTTTGTACACTAATAATAATAATAATAAAATGTATCACTTTGGTAAACGTCTGTCGAGCGCCTCGGTCGCCGGCGTTCACTGCAGACAATGGCAGATCTTGGCCTTGCTGATGATGGTCTGCAAGTGCGGCGCTGTCTGCAGGTAATTCGTGTATGTGCCGCAAACGAACGGTTCGATGGGCGTTTGCCCGATGGTCCGGCGGAAGAACAGCTCGACCACTGTGTTCTTGGGTATTGCCCGGATGCACGGCAGTATCTCGATCAGCTCGTCGTACCTAGCTTCCGGTCGGGCCAAGTGGACGTGGTGCACGTGTCGCTTGAGAGCTTCCTTGCTCTTCACCGCCAGTCCGTCCAGAATGGTTTCCGTGTTGTCCGAACTGCATCCGCGATCCTTGACGGACTCTGCAGAACGAGCACAATATGGCAAAAACGTTAATCACATAAAATTATACGACTAACACAAAGCAGCCGAACACGTTGGCATGTCAGAGTAGGTGCATAAAGAAATTGTACAATACCTGATTTGAGCAAAATGATTTCGTTCAAGAGGTACTGTTCGATGGGGTCGACTTGACGTTGCTTGACGGCGGCCAAAGTGTCTTTGAACAAAGACGTTTGCTCCTCAATGTCGTGCGTGCCGAAGTTGGATTTGTGCTCTTCGTGCAACAGAGATATGTCCGTTTCCGAAAAGTACTGGGCGGCGGTCAAAATGAACAGCTCGTGCCAACCCTCTCGAAGCAATTCGAACTGTGGACAAACATACACAACCAACTTTAAAGTATTGACCAACAAAATATTGGATACAATCCTTAACAGCGTAAGAAACCTTCCCGGTGGACTAACTATATTGGAAGTACCTACCGAGGCAAGTAATGCCTTTGAACGCATATAGAGAAAACAAGTTAATTTAGGTTAGGTATGTTCGATTCCGGTTCAATAAAAGTATACCTATATAAAAGAAATTGTCGAAAACTAATGCCCAATCACAGAAATTATTGTCAAAAAAAAAAAAAAATCAACTATTCAATTAATATATAATATATTTATGCGCTGTTAGGGAACTCATTGTACACAAACAATTTACCTGGTCGACGAACGGCAGAGTCATCAGAGCCGGAAAACTCTTGACCGTCGATACGGTGACTAAAATCGAAGCGGCCGTCTCGTAAACGGCTTGAGTCAGCCGCATGGTGTTGAAGAACCTCGGCATGGCCGCAGATATCTAAAGGGTAAAACGTGAATATAGTAAAAAAAACAACGGGTTTGTCTGAAGAAAATTAGCTTACCTGAGGTCTAAAGGCTGACAGGTACAGGTGCGAGTCGGGTATGTATCGGCCGTTGGGCGGAGTGGGGCAAGTGGTAGAGCATTCGGGCGATCTCTTAGGCGTTAAGTCCAGCGGCGGAGAGTTTGAGACCGATCTGTCTTTGGTATAGCACAGCCCTTGCAGCTGTCGGCGGACCGTGGAAGTTCTGGGACCTCGTTCGTGTTGAACAGCTGTAGACAGTACAAGGTTTAAGGTTAATGCACGATATTATACGTATCATAATTATGCTAATGACGAAAAGTGATATGGATGCTTTGGAGAAAGGCTAAAAGAAAAAGGACTCCCAGACCCTCCCACCCCCTCCCCTAAATGACAAAAAGTTAACTGGTGGCTTTTATGGTCGCACCAAGAGTCAAGAGTAGTGGTAGAAAAGAAGACATAAGATGTAAGAGGTTCATTGCAAATGTCACTCACCGTCCTTGTTCATGCCGGCCATCATGCACTTCCGGAGTCTACAAGCGCGACATTGGTTCCGGTGGGTCTTGTCGACCGGACACGCGCCTTCCGACTTGGACTTGCATATGTACTGTCGATTTCGCCTTATAGATCTCTGCAACATGAACACAACAGCAACCGGTTAGTTTTCTATCGAAATGGCGGGGAGGGGGTGGGCCCAAGTGGGTGCAATTACAGTAATTGCATTTCAAAGCGCTTTAAATATACAAATAATTAAAAATGAAAAAATAGAAAAAAATAATTTAAAATGTTTGTAAAATACAGTACAGTTTTGAATATTTGATGTATTTAATGTATAATTTTTAATGTATGACCTTAATATAAAAAACAAAAATTCTATGTTCTGCTTTTGGACTTCCTAAAACGGATTTTGATTTTTTTAAACGTATAATAAGTTGCATGTAAATACGTGAAAAATGCATAAGCTTCCTTGGTCCTACCAGTATATGTTTGAAGGTAATTAATAATTATCAAATAAAAGAATCACTCAAAAACAATGCGTTTATGCAATCGATGGACTTAAAAAAAAAAGGCACTCGACAAATAATACTTAAGTATAAACGTGTTAAACACTCACTTTGAAAAACCCGGCGCATCCGTCACACGCGTATATGCCGTAGTGTTTGCCGGACGAAAAGTCCTTGCACACTTTGCACGGTATGTCGTACAGGATCCGACCTACAAACACAAAATATATAATAATTAATATTTGTAAGTAGATTCATCATTATTATTGTTATTACAACTCGTGTCGTATCGACCGTGGGAAACATGACGATGACGATCCGCAAAAACAACGGAACATAGACAAATAATAAATTCCTATATGGACAGATGGACTATATATATATATATATTCTGTATTGAGCACACACACTGTGCGTGCATCCCACCCCCGTGCATCACATTTGGTAACTACATGTCAATTACTGCGTGCTTACGCGTGTGTACCGCAATTTTTTACTTTGTTTTGTTTTACCACCCCCGTCGATGATGATCCGAACGAGAGGGGTGGTCGTCGTCGTTTCGATCAGGGCCGGGGTGGTAGTTCCGGTGTAGCTTTTATTGTAAGACACGGCGGAAACAACAGGTCCGGAAGTCGGGCGCTCCGCCTCCGATAATAACGGCACCCCGTCCCCATATATCACGTACGGTTATTACTATTATTATGCATTTTACCGGCACCGACCTCAAAAATAAAAAACAAGTGCGTTTTTGAAAACGCACACACCCCACGCCAAGCAGCAGCCCAATACCTAACCCGCACAAACAATGAGACCCGACCTAATGTAATTAGTGCGCCGCCGCCGGTGTCATCTGTCATGAGCTCTCACGTCCTACGTATAGGTGAATGATAATAATATTATATTTTTCATGTCCATCATTAATAAACGCGACTATAATGTGTGAGAACTATGGACAATAATGATTGTTATATAAAAATATGTACTTGTATTGCGAGGGTGGAACTATGTAAAACGTGTATGCGCATAGTGCTTTATGTGGATTACACATATGGGCCAAAAAAATATATATAGATTATTTCCGAATACCTTTATATAGGTACTGACGGTGGGTCGGGTTTAAAAAAAAATATTCCCAGACCGTTTAGCCGAATGATATATTGCGTTTTCGACGGTGCTCGATTAATAATGATGATATTGTATACACACACTAACGAGTAGTAATCATACCAAACGGTATAAAAGCATTTCCCTTGTATAAAACTTTATCTCATGGCTGATTGATTTTTGTTTTTATACCCCTTAAAATAATTAACAAAAATATCCCACACTCGGGCGGCACGACAACTAAAAATGAAATTATTTTAATTGTATCTAATAATATAAAAATAGAAGTAGGAATTAAAAAACGTGACATTATTTTGAGTTTCGACAACAAGTTTTTATATCGGACACGTTACTTTACTTCTGGAATCATGATCGGTATAGGTAATTTATTATTTTATAACAATAAATTCTATACGATAATAGCACATATTTTATTTGGGGTCTGAGATTTCACCAACCGCCTGTAATGTAGATTGTAGTAGGTATATTTTATACTATTCTCGAACTCGGAATTTAACTACCAATCAATTAGCTTTAGGTATCGTAGGACCGAAACTAACAAACAAATTCCGCTACATCAAATTACATCCACATACCAACCCTTTAGCGACCCAAAACTATCCACAAATCTAATCGTTAACCAAACACTTAACACGTAGAAGGCCACAATGAAAACATAAAAATACGGTGATATATTATAATGATTTAAAAAAAATTATATAACACATTGAACGAAACAAATAGCAAATTTTCACAAAACTAAGCAAATTTTTGTCTTTTTGGCAAATTCCCGAGATTTTTGGTCTACCAATAATTGTTTAGAAATTATTCAAATAATTTTTTTAATTCAATGATTTTCGTTTGGACAATATTATAAAAATTTAAACGATTTTTATGGGATTCTATAAATTAAAAAAATATTTATTGCGTATTTATTATTTAATATATAATTTTATTTTGAAGCATTATTAAACACAAATCTTGTTGGCTTATTAAGGTAATATCTCAGCTAATGTTTTTTTTCTTTTTAAAGTATAAATATAAATATAGGTTTTTATGCATATAAATATTACATTAATATACTGTTATTGAATTTAATTTTATCACAGTAAATATCAATAATAGTGAAATAATAAAAATTTTAATTAAAGCCACCACTGAGTGAGTAACTACAGGTCAACTGGCAAAGACTTGAACGACGCGCTCATAAAGTTAACTAGTGGTCGAGCCGAGGCTTAAGAAAAAAATGAAAAAACCCAAACATGTGTAATAGCTTGTGAATAATATAATGGTTTTTAATTCTAGAAATTATAAAAAATTATAAACTCTTATAACATTATTTACATAAAACTTAACTAAAATGTATCATGCGTATTTCGTAAAATGTATTATTATTCTTATTTATCAGATGTGACTTTCAAAACAATTAGCAAGCTTTCTATTAATTATATTATATTATACTGCTCTGATCACGTTGGTGTATAAAATGGTATGTTGTAAATAAAACATAAATTTAATTTCTATTATTTATTATACTAAACTACAAATACGAGTAATTATTAGTAAAACTAAACTACCAGTTTTGTTCGTATCAGTTAAGTTTAGATTAGCCAGCCTATAATTTGAACACTATTGTAAACTGTTCTGGATGTATTTTAATGAAAACGGCCAAAGACAAATATAATCATAAACAAAACATGATAGGTAATCATTGACCAAAATTGGGTATTTTTTTATTTTAGCTAATTTTTTTAGTCAACTTAAATAAAATGTTTGGTCGAGAAATATTATAAGATTAATATTTTTTGTTGTTGTTTTTATGTTTTAAAATTAATTCATGTTCATGTTTCATTATAATGAAACATTATCAATTGTGTTATAATTATTTGATTTTCTGACAAGACACGACGACGTGCAACAGCTACCTATTCTTGAGATAATTGCTATGCAAATCAATCCACTCACTGTTGGTCGGCTTGGTGGTGGAGTTGGACACGTGTTCCGCAAAGTTCTGCATGTTGTATTTTAATCTCAGAGAGCTTGTGTTCGGCGACAATCCAAAACCGTATGTACTATATAATCGCGTATCGGGCGTTAAACCGGTCACCGAGTATCCGTGATGTACTTAGGGGCACGCGGGCCAAAAAACCGAGTCACACACACACACAAAAACAAAAAAATAACTGCACCGAGTGTATAGAAAAATGATTATGACACCGACACTGGTCCGGACGATTGTGAGAGATCAAAATGTCAACTCGGCCCGGAGAAGTCCCCGCAGAGGGCGCAGACAAACCGGCGGACCCTAAGAGGGTAGTGCCGGAGGGCGTGTCCCTTGGGGTTGGTCCCGAACGCGGTCATTGGTCGTTTGGAACCGAACACAACCGGTGGCGGTTAGCGCACAAGCAGTGCGTACTAGAGTCTAGGGGGGTTGATGTGATCTGCCTAAATTTCTCCTCTGTACACGGTTTTTATGGGTTTTTTTTTTTTTAACGCAAGTACGCGCGTGATAAAAGTCAGATACACACACACGCGGTATATAGGGATAATAAAAAAAATATATATATATATATATATATATAAAAACATCTAACGTCGTTGATGGACGTGTTCGTCGAGGCGAAAGGGATTTCGGAGACCCGGCAGATGATAAAAACACAATGTATCTCTATGTATATTAGATAAACCCCACGGCGGCCGGGATAACCAGAAGGCAATTAGTCGTATAGAGATCCCTTTTTCTTTTTTTCTGTACTTACTGTCCGTCTGAGGAGGGGACATAACGTGCGTTCTTTTCGGGCCGCGCATATTATATTATTGTAAAGCGCATGATTTTTAAGCCAAAAAACAAACAACGCGATAAGAGTTAAACGCGCTCCACGGACCCCGAGGCGTTCGGTGTGCGAAAACATATTATTATAGTATCATGTTATTATTGTACTTGGATTTATTATTTCAAACGCGCATTCGGTTAAGTTAGGTCAGACGATAGAGTAACAATATGTCACAATCGTGCAGGCGCGCAAGGGTTAGGAAAATCGCTGACGACATTTTGGTTTTTTAACGTTTCGGAGGCTCACAATAAAAAAACCGTATCTACTAACGTTCAGGCACGGTCATCTAGCAGTGACAAAAGGGAGGTTGCTAATTTGAGTAAGGCTAGTAAAATAAATTGTACTTTTTGTAGTTTGCAATTAGGTATACAGTTAGGAGTACAAAAAAAAAACAGATTTTAACAAATGGACGAAAAAAAAAATCCTTCAAAATGTAACATGTAAACTTTACAAAATATTAAGTGCTTTTTCTCGTGTACAATTACAACATGTGAACATTAAAAATAGTTAACAGATGGCAATATCAGGTAAACAAAAACAGGGAGGTACTCGTCTTTCATTAAACTTATATTCCAAAAAAAAAATTAAATTAAACTATCAGACGTGTAATATTAATAAACGCTATTAAATATTGCTGCAAATATGATGCGTGGAGTTTTTTTAAACATTTTTCTTGACTTGATTTTTTAGAAAATTAACTTATAACCAAACATGGTTAAATAATAGTTTTAAGTTTAACACTTAATTGACTACGTTCGACACGTTGATTTGCCAAAGGATGAGCCTCGTACCAGATATAAAAGGATTATTTTCATAGTACTGACACCCTGGGTATATACCTAATATAAATATATATATATTAATATTATGTACACCAAATAATAATTATCATGCGCTCAGGTAGACGCGACCCGTTATAAACGCGCATGGTCCAGTAAACTCTTGGTTCGAAATTAACAACAATAAAATATGAAAAAAAGAGAACCCTCCATACGCACCAAATAATAAACGTGTAGAATTTCAAAACAGACCACTGTATAGTATTATAGTATAGACAACAAAGAGCATAGAGGACAGTGAATAGAATACGATGTTGAATTGTGCGCTATACAGTTAAACGGTGGTTAAGTCGATTTGAATAAAAGGCCGAACGTTTTCCGGTCACAGAGTTTACCTATCGTTGAACAAAGAAAATAATTTGCCTTAATGATCAACCCCCTAGCTTAAACAGGTAAATAAAAAACTTAATAACCTGTTTTCGAAAATTAAAAATGTTTAATCAAGATATTATTTTTAAAAAAACCAAATTTACTGAAAACAGTCCCCCGTGCTAAAATAAGAGGAAAGTTATTTTGTTTTTTTTTTCAAAATTAATTTTTGGTCATACCTATATTTTAGGAATTAGGAGCTAAAAAGAAACTTCAGTCATTTTTTGGGATGTATTATTATGATCTGATAAATTTTCATATAAAACTATTACTTGCAATGGAAAACTCAAAATTGTTATACCATATTATAATATATAACAACTTTTGTTTTTATTAGAAATATTATTAGCTGAAAAATTGCGAGTACGCCAACCCCAAAAACATCAATTAAACAACAAAGATTTTGACTTAACGTATAAAACTTACGTGTAAGGTGTATGACTACGGTCTATTGTAACAAAAGCCTAGACAGTGCAGTTCACTAAGGTACAAAATAGTTTCTGAAGGTGGGCTTTTTGTTCGCAAACGGCAAAACTGAACACCTGCATACCAACACCGCACCCGTAACAATAATAAACAGTTCTAAAATCCACGAATGCTGTAATAAATACATTCATAATTTGTTTATAACAACCAGAACGATTAATGGCAGCATTATTGTTTTAACGGTAAAATTAATATCGAAATCGATTAGTTGTCTTGACTTAGCTCATGAAAGATGCCAAACAATATAAACTAGTATTTTGCTTAAACACATAATAAGTTTATGACAATTTCTTACAAACATTTTTTAGGCATACAGGCAAAATGTATTGTTTTAAAATTAAGAACATGATTTTCTCAGAATGTTAAAAAATTGACATAGATCTTTTTTCCCCGCAGCCCTTCGATTTATGATTAAAAAAATAAATAAAAAAACAAACTTTTCAAATATAAATCAAAATATCATGATTATTTAACAAAAGTATGTTAATATAAATGAATGGCAATTAATAAAAAATATTTTGCACTTAACAATGAGTTTGGGCCACCATGATAGTGCCAGATCTGTCTAAGTGCCGCTGGAGTTCAGTTTCAGGGTAGTGTAAGAATTAATAATAGTAAAAAGTTGGAAAGCTAGTTACCGCGAATTGCCATTGTAATTGGAGTTAAAAAAAATTCCCTGAACTAACTGTAAAGCAACTTTGGATTCTAACAAGATTTATTAATATAACATAAAGTCAGCCCATTGAAAACTTGTAGAGTATAAGGCAGAGATGTCTAGTAATGTTTGGAAGTTTATTTAATACAATTTCAATAATCATGTAAAGTTGACATTTTTTAGCAATCGATAAACATTTTTTTATTCTAATACCCAAAGAGACATTTATTAGTGAAATGTTTGATGATTTACTGTTGGAGCAGAGTAATACTTATAAATGTGTTGTTTTTTTTTTTTTATGATCACATCATTCTGTTCATCTTCAGGTAATATAAGTATAATAGTACGTTATTGTTGGCAATACGAAATGTAATATTACAATATTATATTCTAGACGTTTGAGCATGTATGACATGACATTGCGAAGTGGCATTTGTAACGTCCAAATACCGTCTGGTGTGACCCTTTCGTTTCAGTTGTTCGCTCGATGAAATGAATTAACTGTTTCCAGACCGTCAACAGCAGCAGCAACCGATTTCCACGGTATCACGTACGAGCCAGAAACGCCTCTTCTATAGTGTACACACACAGAGAGCGGTACGGCAGGGAATTGATGTTGATGATGATGATAATAATAATAAAAAAACGAACGCCTTGAAAATAAGTCCCATAAGAACATAATAAAACCGGATCCCGGTGTCTTCTTGACGGTTTTTCCCATCACGAAAACGTTAAGAATCCTTTTGGCATCCACCACCTTAGAAGTCCTTTTGCGCCATCCGTGAATGAAGTCCGAGTAGGTCTCCTCCTTCTTCCTGTCTTTTCATGTACGACGACGTTGGGCGTGACCGCGTTTCTTGTTACACAAACTCGGTTATCTATTCTTCCACTTGCACAACCTACATAACCGATTCGGATGATCTCAACGGTTTTTCCATCGCTTCTTTTTTTTTTTTGGTGTCTGTGAATCCATTAAAAAAAATTCGAAATCAAAATTCGAGGAAAAAACGCTGTTGTTAACTTGTAAAAGCATCTAGGCTGTAGAAAAATGGCTATAATAAAGTCCTGAATGAAAGTGACATTCTTGTAGAGCAGTGTTGAACACTAAATTTTGCACTAATAATAATTATTATTAGGTATAAATGCGCGATGATTTAATTGAATACATCTCAATCGCTGTTTTATAGTTAAAGTCGTTTATTCGTAAATATTTATGAACTTTTAGAAAAGTTAAATAATTCATTTTAATTTAAAAAATACTTAAACTTCTCAGTCGTGCGGTATAAAATTTAATTCAACAGCAAAAAAACTTACTGTTGCAGTTTCGTGTGTGTGCTTGGCCATTTTGATAAATAAACGATGACAAAATAATATGGAAATAAAATTGCTTAAATGACAGTTTTCGTTTTAAATGTTGAAATTCACATAAATACACTTGAATTAGCTGTTATGATTAAATATTTCATCTTGAATTACAAAAAAGTCGATAATTTCTTATTTGATCAGCTAACTTCTTTGTTAATCACATTGAAATGATCATAATAATATAATAATTTTATTGAGAAATTTTCAGTCGATTGAAATTTTACTCCGTTCTACGAAGTCTGTACATTTTTTTTTTCAATAGCCTTTAATAGAAAAATAACATGAATAATACTATATCAATCGACTAAATGGCGAGATCGGATTAGGGCACGTCCCATTTTCAATCGCGCACTTGGACTAGTTAGGTACATCAATAGAATAGCAAAGTAATCGTTGACAATGTACGGCTACCGTTTCAAATCGTTTTTCTTAGTATTATAGTTTTTTCCAAATCGGAACAGGCCAATCGGTTCCGGAACGCAATAGGATCATACATTCCTCGCACAAACTTTTTCCTTACAGCCAACTCAACGTGCACCTATAAATACTATATGTATGAATATAATAAATATAATATGTGATAATAATAATAAATAAATAACTAAAAATAATAATTTATATTTGTATATTATACAAATAATATTTCCTATTAACTAAAATCGTTTGTCATCCACGAAGAGGCAC